TCCACTTGACTATCAATATATTCCGTGGTGGATGGAATTATAATCATTTCCATTCTTTTGCTGTTCAGCAATAGATTTTTTGGATATTATTGAATAAGATTTATATTGATCAAGACAAGATTTTCAGCATGACTATGTTTATGAATGTATAGATTCGAAAGTTGAATGAGAAAGAGTTTCTTTAAGCTTTATATAATGAATAAAAATACCGCTGCCACTACTTTTAGAAAGCCCTAAGTAAAATGTATCTCAGTTAAATATAGGATCTGAAGATTAGTAGTTACCTGTTACGTGAACTAAGCCAAGAAATCTCGACATAAAACAAAAAATAAGTAATGTTCTAATTAGAAACACTCTTGCATAAAGTCGAGCTCTTCTACAGTATAAATAGTTGCTTGTTTAATAACAAGAATAGGAAAAACGAGTAATAGTTTTCAATTAACTACTTTATTCGAGCCATTTAACAAGAGGCAAACGAAATCGATCCATCCACATGGTTTCAACATCTATGGATAAAGGCAATTCTCCGAGTTTCTTCTCAAGTAAAATAGTCATGTCACTTTTCGATAAAGTCAAATCTCTTCCTTGTTTCACTTCGTTCTTCAAATCATTGTATATTTCTTCTATCATTGCTGTAACATGTTTTTGTCGTTCTTTTTCTTCTTGAAAATGACGCCATGGTGCATATTTTTCCAGTGTTGTACTACAAAAAAGGTAGAAATGTGAATTAATTTTTCGGTTAAAAAAGAATTCGATCTATTATGCGAACTGAAGTTGATTACTTTTCAAGTGTTTTGATAAAAGGTTTTTTCCAAGTCGTCTATTTTACTAAGCTTTTTACATTTTTATTTGGTGAAAGAAAAACTGTTCTGACTATCTTAGAAAATTCTCTTCTATAAATAACATGCTATTTTTTTAAAATTTCTATCTACTGAATGAGTGTTTCAAAAAAAAATGGAAGTAATTCTTAATTTTTCTTTTTTTTTTTTTTATGAAAAATCTTCTCAATTTTAGCGAGAGTCGATAAAAAGAATAGAATTCACCGACCTGTAAATTTGTTTGGCTTCCCATGAAGACGGTACATGGCCAGTATGTTCTTTGTACATTGTCTTACATTCATTCAAAGTAATTCGAGCATAATCAACATTCGGTTTCTTATTCCATATGGATTGTGCTATTTCTTTTAATTTTTCTTTACGCTGTTTGATTTCTTGTGCTTTATAATAGAGTTGAATTTTGAGTTCTGCATCAGGAAGAGGAGAAAATGATATGCCGGTCATATCGGACGATTTGTATCGACGATATTCATTTTGAATGAGTTCGGAAATAAGAATGTTGTGATGACCAAAAAGCGCATGAGATGGAGCGTAGGTCGAGCAGTTGATGTGACTAGCAGCAGCAGCAACTCGAAAAAGAAAACGATATGGCATCATCATTGATGTGTGCCACGGTGGAAACAAACTATACTGAATTCAACACTCTAAAAAAATTATGACGCACGGAGTGTATAAACAAGACACTTTCAGTTAGTTCTGATTGATTTGTATATGTCTAATTTAGACACTTTAACGTCAACGGATAACTGATTTTAACATTCAAATGTCTTAATTGTTTCTGTCTGGACGGCCTTCGCCAATGAGGTCAACGTCTAACATGTGTCTTTCTTCGACACTTCAACTAATTGACGACCTACTAATTTTAGAAGTAAACTAACGCAGAGATGAACAGCAAGTGTTCAGAAAAATATATCCAATAAAACTAAACTTTTTACTTCTATTATTTTCACAAATATTGCTTCAATTCAAATTTAACTCAATCTTCTGTCAGAGAGTTTAAAACATACTTTCAGTTTTATATGTATTGAGTTAAATTTGAAAGGAAGCGATAGTTATAAAAGCACAAGAAGTAAATCGTATAGTTTTATCGGAGACATTTTTCTTAACACTTGCTATCCATATTTGGGTGAGTTTACTTCTAAAATTAGTAGAATGTCAATGAGCTGAAGTGTCTAAGAAAAACAAATGCTAGATAAATTTGCAAACAAAAGTTAAAATAACTTTCGCAAGAAGGAACATTTTAAAAAAACTGATGTTAAAAATGCAATAGGCATCTAAGGTTTACCTTAATCTTTCTACTCTCGAAAATCTGTCTGCTTAACTTAAACCAAACTATATTTCTTTTACACTTTAGTTATTTTCAATGTTTTTGGGAAAATTAATGTTGTAGTTTACAACTGGATCACGTCGGTATTTGCAGCTGGAGTGTTATCTAGAAAAAAATAATCAGATAGAATATAATAATGAAAAAAGAATTATAAAACACAGTTTAATAATGAACAAAAATTACAAAATATAATATGATTATGAAGTGAAAATGATATTTAATTTTGCTTATGCATGTATAAAATCGACTTCACAACTTTTTCAAGACTAGATCGAGAGAATAATCAATAATAAATGTGTACAAGTTCTTAAAAAGGATACTTGTACACAACGAGAATTCGGCTTGTCCAAGCGCAAGGCTGTTTCATTTTTGACACACTTTCAATTATCTTAGAAATCTTGAGAGCTAAAAAGCACGTTCAGAAGTCATTCGACGCAGCTCATCATACTCTACTTATACTATAAGAATAACTTTTTTTTTTAATTCTCAGCTGAATGAATCCGATCAGCCGACAAAATCCTATGGAAATCCGAGTTAGGGAATCACTAACAGATCCAACGGGCAAATCTTATTTTATTAATTTGAGTACTCGTTAACATTTTATCATAACAGTAGGATCCGAATGTTGTTTCGCAAACCGAATTCTCAGAGGATTTCGTCGGTCTTATAAAAATTCCAATAGAATCTCATCAAATTCGACAGGAATCCAATCGGATTCAATTGTTGCAATGGTTCACCTGAGTTGAAGTCTCAGTCTTTTAGAAAGGTTTTATCATCCTGTAACGCTGTTACATAAAAAGATCCTTTTTCTTCAGGGCAGCTGATAAAATTCTAATTTCTCGTGCAAACAGTTACGCTGTTTTTTGCCGATCGATTTTGGAACACTAAACATGCTCAGAAATATTTGGTTTTCATACATATTGGTCTTTTCTGTACCGATAATTGTTCTGAGCAAGAACCAAGTTGTTACATGAAAACTGAAGCTCATTCACTATTTAGTAACTTGCAAACTGTAAAAGAACGTAAAAGCTGGCCTTAGCAATGAAAACAAAAAACTGACAAGCCATTTTGTAGAGAATTCAATTCTGCATTGAATGGTATGGTATTGGGCATTTTTTGAAAAAACTTCCTAGTCGAGAAATTCGAAATATGGTTTTTTTGATGCCAAAATTTAGCCTTTTTTAAAGAGAAAATCTCAAAATCGTAATCAGCGTAAGAAACTGCATCTTATCATGTATTCAGATCTGTCCATATCAAAAAATATAATTTTCAAAAACTTAATCGATGAAGTATCGCGTTGCATCGACAGGCCAAATTATACTATCTTATTGATTAAATTTTGTTTACAGGTTTCAAATAGAATTTGAAGTAATTTGTGATCGGGCGTATTGTTTAGATTAATGTGTAATTAGAACAAATGCTAACATTTTATGAAGACTACCACCTCCAACAGGCACAGGCATCTTATGATGTAAATTGCTAATGACCATAAAAGTTTTTTCAAATTCTTTTGGTGCTGATGACATAATTAAACTGTCCGAGATGGATGAGGACCAGTTAAGCCATTCTTAATTAATAAAAGAACTTTGTACATAAAAAAGAGAAACCGTTTATCTTAAAAACATATTTTGTTTCACCAAAATTGTCACACAAAACTTTCATTGCTATACAATAAGCCTCATTCATCTACATAGAGAAATGAATCAATAAAATAGAAACACTAGACAGAACAAATCTACTTCGCTGGTCTTGATGTTGAACTAAATATTTTCCAATAATATCATTCAAAAACGTACGTGCTATATCTTGAAGTTCTTCAAAAGAACATAGTTGATTTTTCAATGAAGAATATTCTCACAAACTAGCTAAACTAGAAATAAAACGGTAATTACAGAAACCGCAATCAAGTCAAATGTTTTTGACGATTAAAATAATCAAAAATAAAAGTCACAACGATGAAGAAAACAAGGGTAAAAGGAAAATAATTTTGTGATCTCCAATAAGACGTTGAATGTAAAATAGATTTCTTACCGCTTCTTCGTGAAAAATCTCATTCTACTGTAATACTTTCATCACAAAATCAACATTTTGGTTTTGAGACAATACTTGACGTATAATTGTATGAGTATAACGGATGGAAGCATGGATCTTGCCAATCGAGACGTGATGCACTAATTTAGTCTTCGGTTTTACAACTACTCGAAGACGACTAACATCTTTGTTGAATGCATTATGTTCAGATTTTGATAATTTTGGATACCAAAAGTTCTTGATCACTAGCTCAATATATTGCCGATGGGGGTTGCTGTAACAAAAATATGCTCGATTTTTGAAACGAGTAATAATACTTATGTCTGAAAACATTCTCTAATTCTTTTTCAACATTAGTTGTCTTATCAATACAATTATTTGTTTCATCTCGTGCTGAAACAAAACTATGTATAAAATTATTATTACTAAAATATGAAAGGAAGCAGTTAATTATTCTATGTGAATGTTGTCAGGTATAGAAGACCATCATTCTCAATGTTTGTATCATTCAATGAATCAATGTTTAATCAACAAAGAATAAATAGAGCACTGATTTATCTGAATAAACATGCTTGTAGTCACTCTGATACGGAACCTACACGAAATGAACTGAGAATGAACAGAACGACTAAGAAAAGAAAATCTTTTTCCTTCAAAAAACAATTCCTATACCACCACTGTTTTGTCTTATCATGAGTTAAATGAACTATATCAACTGATAACACCAGGAATGAAAAACATAACATCTGTTCTACTTAACCTGTCGGACGTTTGTGTTTTCTCCTCCTCTTTTCTATTTTAATAATATGACTGCTTCGTCTTCTTCAAAATTTGAATATTTACCTAGTCTTCAATGCATACGACCATCGGGATATTTAAAAGCAGTTGGTGCAGTTGTTGTACAAATTGGTACAGTTGTTATTGTTGGTTTAATTAAAACAATTTGTGTATCAATCGAACAAACATTGACAATCGGTGGATTTGGTGGAGGTACCAATGAAATAGTTGCTCGAAGATTGTTTGTCAAATTTTTTGGCAACTGAATCACGTGTTTTGGTAGTTACCATTGTACAGTTGATTGTTCTTTAGTAACATGACACTGAATCAAAATTGGAACACCAACATATGTGTTTTGCTTCTAGTTTAACATACTTACCAGTTTGATCATATGGTGTAGTTATTGGCTTAAGTAGACTAGATTTGTTCAATGGTTTATGCGAATCATCAATTGCCAATTGATTCAAGAAATCTATAGATAAAGAAGAGTACTAACTTTTAATAAGATGTCATTTAAATTTACTATTTTCATCATATTCAGTTACGGTAAAGGATTCATTTCCTTGGTCTGTGGTCTTATTAACAACCACTTGATCATTTGTTTTGTTATTATCAAATGACTCGATTGTAGACCATCTTGATCGTTTCGGCGTTGGATGAGTTCTAGAATGTTGTGTGTTTCTTTTATTTTTAGAAATCAGACGTGACATGGTGTGCTACGTGCAAACACATTAATATTCATAGAGAAATCAGTATATTGGCTATTTACAATTGTTGAAATAAACTAATATAAGGCTTCTTCTCTATGCGTCAGTCATTTTTATTTAATTATTTTGATTTTTGTGTAACAACATTACGATAAATAATATAGTTTTAACAGAAAAGTTAAAATTCATTTGAAATCGAATGTATTTATTTATTAAATGAGTGACATACTTTTCGCAACATTGAGTTGCATCATCAGACAAGAAAAAAATAGAACTGAGCTAAGATACATCAGACCAACAGACAAAGAAAGAAATGTATACTCTGTGTAGACAATGGATTCATTACAACAATAAAATAAGAACATTTTACGATAGTAAAGACCTCTATAATATTATTAAATTTGTTTCTCTAAACGTTTAGAAAAACAAATAAAGCTTTGGTCATCTTCTGTTATTGTCCTGCTTCGTGGAATATTTTCATTTTCACTTTAGGCTTGAATGCTGCTTCACCTTCTGGATATATGATCAGTGGAGTGGAGCAAATAATCTTGTTGAGAGTTGGTTTATACTTAAGAATAGCTAAAGATTCACGGATGAATAGGCGAGATCGTTTGTTACCTTTACTATAATTTCTCAGCCTCGCCAGTCTGTGGGGTATCCTGTCGCTAGCTCATGCTGATGAATAGCAGACTTTATGGTAGAAGATGCTGTTGTGCTTGTGGATTCTTCGTTAATAGTACATTTTAACAGCTTATCGTAAAGAGCATAGTTAACAATAATTTTCAATCAAGTAGAACATCTGACAGAGACCAACACAGTTAAAAATGACTGAGTTTGTTGATTAGGAGAAGTAGTGCACGGTTTAGAATTAAGGAAAATAACTTTCGGTTGACCATGTCCACTAAACTGTCTCTCTCTGTTTGACGAAAAGTTTTTTCCATGTAGGATGCTGAACAATGTTTACAGTTAATATTATGAACAACATGGAATATAAATTCTTTTGGTAGAGGATCTTTGCGTGGAAAAACTGTTTGAATTGAAGGAAATGGACGTGGTATCAGCGTTATATGAACTTGTGGGTAGATTGATTTCACAAGGTCAAGCAATGTTTTTTTCATAAGATGCAGTTTGGTGACCAACATATAAAATGTTTATGAGATGAACTTCTTTCTTCATTACATCTTGCTTATTCGAGTCTTTCTTGTTGTTTCTGGAGTGAAGTCAATTTTAGTCAAAGAAGAACTAGACGAACAATTAAGTTGATTCTTTCAAGGTTAGTTCGTATTATGTTTTGTACGAAAGACAAAGGGTAACCATTTGAAACACCTAATTGTGAAATGAATAAAAAGGGTGTGCGTGAGTATTATAGTAAAGGAAATAAAACTCGAAATCTGAAGAATTCTTCATTGACGTTGCCTCGCAAATGCAAGTTATGGGTTTGCGGTAATGACCATTCTCAAGATGGATCACTATTATATACGGTTCTTTCAGATGTTCCTCTTGGACGACTTGATGATCAGCGAGCGAGTGATCACCGATGAATAAATAGAGTTTGCCATTTCAAACATGACGAAACTATCCTTTAAGCTGCTGTAAACAGTAAAAGTTTTCACAATAAATGGGTAAAAATATTCATATAATTCGGTTATAAATGTTCATATAGAATATTTTTCTGCACTGCCGACTGTTGGAAAGATTAGATGAGTTTTATATGAGAGAAAAAACTGCACATTTGTTTACACAACGTATTCAGTTAAAAATTATGCACAACAGCTACAGTGTTCGAAGTGCAAGAGATGAAGCAAATGGACTGTTTCGTTCTTGATGATATTTTTTGTAAAAAAGCCTCTGAAATTAGTTTTATTAAATGGATCTCTATATTTTCTCTTACACCCTTATTGCAAATCTTGTACTGTTATCTGGATGTTATGTTTAAAATTTTTCTTTTCTTCTTCTTACGTTAACATCTCTTATTTAATAAAGTCTCTTCAAACGTTAAATTAAACATACTTGTTCTAATAAGTATATTTCAATAGTCCATAAGAAATAATAGCATAAAAAATATAATTTATCTAAATAAAAAACGAAGACAATGAAACAGCATATACTACGCAACTGGCTAGTCTTTACCCTAGTGAATATACTGAGTTAAGGGTACCCAAAAAAGTACCCTGATACTAGTATGTCACAGGAACTTTTGGGTACCAAAGTACTTGCAGGTACTTACAGGTACCTAAGTGGTACTTTGGCAAGTACCCTGCTGGAAAATGCACAGTAATTGGGTACCTAAAGGTACTGATCAAGTACTGAATTGGGTACCATTGTATAGTATTTCTAAGTACCCTGTTACCAAATTTTCAGTATGTTCAGGATCGAACCTGATCTTTGACTTTTTAAAATTTTTTCTTTTTCTTGAGATAATTTACTAGATTTTTTTTTTACTTTATTCAATTTAATTTTTTCAATTCCAAAAACTTAGCAGAAACAATGTCGGGATCCGACTCAACTTGAGTTGGTCGTAGACCACTTCAGGGTAGTCCGATCTTAATTTACGACCAAGCTCGGCATTTCCTTGACTAAGAAATAGTCAAGAAATAATTTAGAAAAAACTAGTATGAAAATTGATTATTTTCTTATGATTTATCGAGTTGTTTATATAGAGCCGTACGTAAAAAAGAAAACGGTGAATGAATAGTCGCCACACAGAACGCGAAAAATTTAGGATACCCTGTCGAGATTTCCTCAGTAAAGTTACAGACTTGTGTATCCATGCAGGTACTTATTCAGTGAATGTACTTTTACGGGTACCCCAAACAGTACATACATCAGTAAAATTACTGAGAATTTTCAAAGTACCCATATTGGGTACCCTGCTAGAGCTTTCTCAGTACATGGGTACCCTGAACTCAGAACTTTCTCTAGGGTAGTTGTATGAAGCTTGAAGAGCTATAATAAAATGCTCCCACGATAAATCAAATAAGTATCGACAAGAAAATAATTTTAAAAAATTACTTCAATAAATAAAACTCACTTAATTATGTTCAATGTGTTTTTAAAACGAAATTAAACAAAGGCTTATATAAACACTACGAGAAGTTTTATTTACTTAAAGGAAAGAAAATAATGAACAAATGCAAAATATGAAAGATGTAACATACTTATTTCGTTCTAAACAATTGTCTAGAATCTAACTCAAAGTGTACATCAATAGAAAAACCAACAACTATCTAAAAGAAAAGAGAATTAGTTAAGTGAAAATGCAATATAAAAGGAAAAAATACATTGAAATCTGTTCAAAGTGATAGTATTTTCAGCATATATCTGCTCTACGAAAATGAACGATTAGTACATGATCCGGTGATAACAAGTAATGAGAGAAACATCAATCAATGTTGAAATCGATATTCACTAATGCACTTGATATGAAACTTATCTTTAGAAGCGGATTTTTTTAGGATATAAAGTTTATTTATGATAAAAATTATTTATCATGTTAGCGTGTTCTGACAAACTAAAACAAGGGATTTACAGTAAAAATAGGAGAATTGAGTGAACGGCATCTTTGATTTATATTTTTTCCACTAAAATTTGTAAAACAAATTTTTCCATTATGCATGTATTGTAGAGTCCTCATCTAGATGAAACTCAGTTTTTGTCAAAATCAAAAATATAAGTAAACATGTATCATAGTTTATCACATTTTAGGAACAATTTTTTTGTGTCGCATTACTGAAACTAGATGTCCTTCGCTGTAGTGCATATCAACATTGATTAGATGATTCATCTACATGTGCGCACTGGCTAGATATGAAGAAAAAAAAGTAATAAAGGCGCACACCGTTGGTCAATCTTTTTGGCCAATTATTTAAATCATAAAAGTATTCATAAAAGAGAAAGCCATGAGTTTCTATTTCACACTATATTTATGATGCCCTCTACAGAAAGTTAACGGGTTGTATATAGAAGCGACACTAGTCGATAGAGAAAATTTTTCTCTAACGAACTACACTTTTATTTTTTATCGGAAAAATGGCTGCGGCATGAAGTCATCAAAACATTACGTCCAATCCGGTTGTCAGAAGTGAATCAAACATGTAAACCAAAGGTAATAGGCTTACTTCATATAGAGACCACGAAGGTATGGGTGTCGGTGAGTGTTGGTGTGGACTTGTGATACAATGATACGTGCACCAAAATCCACAACAACACGCATACCCAGATCGCATCCATACCCAAGTCGAGAAAGAAACCGTAGAAAGAATACATTGGAAAAAGTCATACATTCGATTATTTGCATTTGATTAAGACAAAACATGTTTCATGTCGTTTGTTTTCTTGTAATTCATAGTTATTTTTGAAAAAAGGATTAGACAATTCGACGTTTTATTCGTCGTCGTATCGCAAAAGAACAATTCGTATTCAATTTAATTGTTTGGTGCAACAGCAGACGTTCGTATCATAACTTATATTGACCTTTAGTTGAAGATATTCGAAATGATAATAGATACTCTCAATTAATACGATCCTAGTTTTGAAATAATGTCACTACGAACCTATCACTACTTTCGTCTGAAGAACCCCGAAAAAGTTGTACTAGTTAAATATATAGATAATGAAGTATTCGTTTGTTTGACTGATATTCAAGAAATATTTGCATGCCCTATTTCCTCTTTTGCTATCAACGGTTCTCCAATCAGTTTGCAACGTGACGAAGAGCAAAAATTTGTTGTACCTTTACGAATTCAAGCCATTATCAATCAAGTTATCGAGTATGATGACTGTAGTGGGCTTGATATTCTACAACGTATCGATTTGACCGCAAAGGAAATACTCGATGATACCGAAACACTTATACAAAAGGTGAATAGTATTCTTCGACAAACATTTGAATTAGCCGAATATAATGTTCCATGTCTTTTCATCATTTTACCTGATGAGCAAAACAAATTTAATCCTATGAATCTGTTTCGAGATTCCTATCGTCTTTTTCTTATGTGAATGTGAAAAGGAAAACGAACGTCACTTGGCATTTCATGAAGGATACAAAGTCAAACGGCCAGTTGAGTTTATGCGAAAGTATGGAGCCCATCCAAAAAAATATGTTAATTGTTTGTAAATATGCTATTAAAGTAAGTGGCATTTTTGTACCACAAATATCACAAACAATTCCTCGTTCGAATATACCTGGTGTATTTCAAAATGAAAAATTTCTTAATAATTTGGACGGCAGACTTGACAAAATGACTGTTGCATTGGAGAAAGTCATGAAAATAGATTTGAAAGAAAATCATTACGACGAACATTTGGAAGGTGTCGAATTGAGAGAAATTGAATACTTTTTGGCAAAGTTCGATAAATATCGTACATTGGGTAATTTATATCGAACAATATCGTCTGATGGTATCGTTCGCTGGGTATGTGTTAAACATTATCGACAACTTTATAATGATAAAAAATTGAAAAGCCTTCGCAGAGAATTTCGTAGTCTAGGCGGAAGTATGTGCCTTGATACAGCAACAATTGTTAAGAAAGATGAAAAGAATATTGATCAATTATTCGATGTCATTGGTCGAGGTTTGAATTTATTTAGATTGAAATTGATTAAATGTTACTTAAGTAAAATCTCATTTGACTATTTACTTACAATTGTTAACGATTAGTCACGAATCCAGTACATTGAATTTGACAGGACTTCTGTGTGTAGTTCTATTGGTGTTAAAAAAGAACATATGAAAGTAATACGTAAACTTGAAAGAGTCGTTCAATCTTGTCTACACACTACGATTATTTATACTGTTAAATGCCCGTCGGGTACTACTAATTCTATTGCTATCGATAGAGCTTTATTCAATTATTCCATGAAACAGACGAATTCAAAATTAATACTCAATATTTATACATTAGATGATGGAAAGAAAGTCGATTTGAATAAATTTATGGAATCAGACCGAGTCTATCTTACGAAAACTGTTAATCAAAGAAAGACTATTACACATTTCGAAACGGCTTATTTGAGTAAAGAACTGACCGAAGATCTGTTGTTAAATCCATCTCCTATTCAGCTAACTTTGTTATATGGATCAAAATCGATGAACAGCTTGTAAACAATTTAAAAGAGCTCTTATTGCATAGCACTTGTTTACGTATACTCGAATTGGGCTTTTTCGATATTGAACAAACAGCATTAATACCGATGGTGAGTCAAGTACTCGTTGACAATGTCACATTAGAAATATTGAGATTAAACAAATGCAAATTGAACGATAGTCAACTACAACAGATTGCGCGAATGCTGGCTCAAAATAAACATCTTATCAAACTTGATTTGAGCGATAATAAATTTATCTCAAATGATGGAAGTATGCATATTGCATGCGAGCTACGAAACAATCGAACATTACGACTACTGAAGCTGGCACAAGCAAGTATTGGAGCAGGCGACGCAATATATCTCTTTGAAAATTTTCTTGAAAATACATCCTTACAACAATTATTCGTTACGCCATCGGTTGAATTAATTTTTGGATATATTAGTGTGAATGAACTTTGTCGTTCGATTGAAAATAGCCAAACTCTTGAAATACTTCAGTTAGGAAATTTTCAAACAGTTGATTCTGGTCAGCTGTGTGACACAGGTTCTATGGTAATCTCTAGTAGTCTTATGAGTCTATCACTTCAAGGTTGCAACTTATCGCATAATATCATAGGTGCTTTAATTCGAGATCTGAAGCAGAACAAAACATTAAAAATACTTTATCTCGATCGGATAGTAGATAGTGCGAACGATGAACTAATTAAAGAGCCGACTGAAATGCTTGAGTTGAACACTTGTCTAAGGACACTAATCTATTCGAGCAATAAACTAATAGATGAAGGAGCTATAGAAATAGGAAAAGTGCTTGAAACCAACAGGACCTTGGAAGTACTTGATATTAATGATAAGGAAATCATGTACGATGGAGCAGCAGCCATAGCAGCTGCACTAAGCGTAAACAAAAAATTTAAGATCTCTAAAAATCGAATATAATCAAATAGGAGATGATGGTATACTGCGCTTTTGTGAATCACTAAGCAAGAATATGACACTGAGCTACTTGTACTTGGGCAAGCAAAGTAGCGCTTCAACAAACTATAAAAAGAGTTAAAAAGTAGTCCGAGAAATCCTTGATATAAACGAATCTGTACGGATTTACGGATTTGATGAGTAAAAGAATTGTTGAATTTTGAGTAATAGACATGTTCTTTACATATCAAATCGAGATCATTTAGGCATTTTTAAATCAATTTTATAGAAGCATTTTCCTGAAAATACTCTTGTGTGATAGTTTTCTGTATTTTTTCCATAAAATCATGTTTCGTATCTGTCTCTTCCATTTATGTAATAAACGCTTTTGAAATGTAATGAATAAGCAATAATCTTGATAACTTCTATCATTTTCTAGATTCTTTTATGACTATTTTTCATGCTTCAAATTGATACATTGTCTTTCTATGAAAGGAGTATTGAAAGATCGCCGATTATAAATCAGAAAGCATTTTTCATTTATTCATGTAGCTTGCAGAGGTGGGATCGGTTGGCATTTTTGCCAAACCGAACCGACCGTAACCGAAAAAATCTCTAACCGAACCGAACGTAACCGACCGAATTTTTTACAATTTCTAACCGAACCGACCGTAACCGAAAAAATCTCCAACCGAACCGAATGTAACCGACCGAATATTTAAAAATTTCTAACCGAACCGACCGTAACCGACCGAATTTCAAAAATTTCGTAATCGAACCGAGTTTAGAGAAAGCGAAGTTTAGCTTATTTTAGTTAGGGTATTAGTGCTTTATAAATTAGCAACAACAAATCAAATAATAGCAACTAAAAATAATGAACACTTAGAGAAAGCAAAGAATAAAGATTATTTATTGGATCTTCTTACTGTATTATAACTTCCTTACCTCTCAGGGCAAATTTTAAAAATATGTGAGATAATCCGCGTTGCGAGCAACAGCTAGTTGTTGTACGATTATATTCTTTTTTCTTCTTATGTTTCACTGAAAAAGTCCATTGAACCCAAATGAAACGATTATGTTGATTCTTTCTAACCGAACCGAACATAACCGACCGAATTTTTTAAAATTTCTAACCGAACCGAACGTAACCGACCGAATTCTCTAAAAATCTCCAACCGAACCGATTTCGGTTACGGTCGGTCGGTTCGGTTCGGTTAAAAACCGAACCGGTCCCATCTCTGGTAGCTTGAATACAATATGAGTAGTGTCAAAGAAAAACATTTATATTACTGTAGTCGTTCAGATCGACTATCTGTTCAACCATATTCACATCTATCCACACCCAATTCTAATACAACACTCGTAATGATTATACACATATGTAAGAATTTGAAATATCGTTGAAAACATGTTGAGATTCAGTCCTCTCTTGAACAATGATTAAACGAAGAGTTAGTCAAAAATAAACAAGCGAAAACATGTAAGTACGACACGTTCAACTGCACCAGTTATTTGTATCTGTACGAGTCAAAGATCCAAACATGGTTATTTTTTGTAGTTTTGCCTTGCCTATCACGTTCTTTATAAGTTTTTACATACTAATATCAATTGCTTTATTACAGTAAGTCTAGTGAGAAGAGAAATAAGACACGATTAACATTACGAAAAGAAAAACTGTTTTTGCGGAAGAACATTTTCAATGCATTTAATGAACTAGCTGATATTGATATTTCAAATAGTATTCTATTAAAACAATACAGATGCGAATAGAAATTAAAAAAGAGTGTAGTAAACCACTCTTACTAAATGATAATAATAATAATTGAAGAAAAAATACGAATGATATAATGTACGGTAATTAATAAATAAACGATATCGAGACAGACAATAAATAATGCAGCTAAACGTGAGTTGGACCAATTCATTTTGATGCTGATTCTGGCCAGAGAAAAACTTTGTTCCGCTCTTGACGAGGCCAGAACCATCATGCTCATATTTAAGGTAAACACAAAGAGTTCAATTAATTACAATTGATAGTAGATTTCTTCAGCTGAATAAATTGAAAACTACCAAAAATCTAATACTAAACATATAATATATTGATGTGTACTGGTTTCTAATAATTTCTGATATGTGCACTCATATACGAATTTTGTTTAAAGTTTTCTATACAAAACGAAGCTGTCTTCATGAAGAAAAGATCTTTTCATTCATAGTGAGTACTAGCGCCCTCACAAATGTCGTTAAAAATTGATCGTACTGGAGAGATAAGCGAATCCAATCATTAAGGTTTTAGATCATTCTACAAGCGAAAAAACGAAATTGTTGATTAAAAGATATCTTTATTAATTTTACGTAAATAGAAATCATCGAATCATTTCGATGCTGACATACCTTGATCTTTCAAAGAAAATGACTTCTCATATCGCATTATTCCAGTTTCGAGAACATAATTTTTCAATATCAAGTATAACTTCTCTATCTCCATGTTAAGCCTCAGTTTTGAAGATCATAAAAAAAGCTAAACCTTCTACAACACCATTACAGACATAGATGATTGTTTGTTTCATGTTTTTCAAAATTAATTTCAGATGATTTTTATTTTGTTTTCATTGTAATGCATCAACACGAATATTTAATAAATATTCATTATTTTAAACAATATTGTATTGAAAAACTATGTTGTTATATGTTTGAATGAGCATTTATTTGTTTGTTAGTTATAGATATACTAAATTTTAAATTTTCTTCTACAGATATCTCTTTAATATTCATTCGATCTTATGTAGATATGCCATCGCATATTCTACGATGTGTTCATTCGAAAAATCGAAATTGTTTTCTTGGTATTAATCCACGTACATTCAATAACAATGTTCGACATGCATTGGAATTTAAAGTAAAACGAAATTTATTGTTTATTTTGAAAAGGAATATGCCATTATGTATATGTATAGGTTTCAACAGTAAGATTAAATTTGGGAGATGGTCAATATCTTTATTTGTCAACATTAGCGGATTATACATTAAATGAAGGACAATTTTCATTAAATGGATTTTTTGCAATGAAAGTTAATGTTCAAAAAGATCGATTTGTGCGTTAAGTTTTTTAAAAAATTTGATTATTTTATTTTAATTATGGTTTTTTGTTTAATAGTATGAAATTGATGAACAGAATGAATCAATCGAATGTCGCAGTGTAACATTTTGTCCAGTATCTGTTGATGATTGGGAAATTTTGGTGAGTTGAAAGAAAATTTTATTCATTATAGAAAGATATGTGTTATGAAAAGCATTTAAGATTCACATAGAAAGAATGGTTTTGTTTTAAAGATTCATATTAAACAGATTTCATTTTTTGTGCTGTTGATAACTTTTTAAGAAAAGATTATAGGAAATGTGGCAATCCTCTTATTTTATCCAGAATTTTGTGCTTTTTAAGATGATACTCTTAATAGTCTTCTAGAGCCTAAAAACTACTGGGTGTGGTGTTTGCGAAAGCTTTTATGAAATACGATCTAAAATGCGTGTTGAAGAATAAGTATAAAAATTTCTATAGCTCTCCACAGATCGTACATCAATAACTCCTCTGTATAACATATGAACTAGTTCCTTATTACATTTTCCTAAGATGGTTAGTGAAAAAATGAAATCTGA